GCCCAGCGCCCCCCCACCCCACGACCACAGAACCTCCCAGACTCCAAATCCAAACCAGAACCCAGAACCGGTCCAGGACTCAGACTGATCTGAGAGATCAAAGGTCAGCTGCAGGTTCTGATCCAGCTGCAGGTTCTGATCCAGCTGCAGGTTCTGATCCAACTGCAGGTTCTGACCCGGTGCTGTAGAACAGGAGGGTTCTGTTTGTTCTTTTTGTAAACGAAGATAAACAATAAAAATAATCTGAGATTTTATTCAAAACATTCGTCTGCAGCTCTGATCCGGTTCTGTTCAGTTTGTGGATCAGAGCCTCACAGGTGGACCAGGTCCAGAGTCTCACAGGTGGACCAGGTCCAGAGTCTCACAGGTGGACCAGGTCCAGAGTCTCACAGGTGGACTTGGTCCAGAGTCTCACAGGTGGACCGGGTCCAGAGTCTCACAGGTGGACCGGGTCCAGAGTCTCACAGGTGGACNCTCCTCTGTCTGGTTGTTGTTCATTAAATCAAACTCTTTCAAAATAAAATCTCAGCCTTTAAACAATAAAAGCATTCAGGTTCCTGTAAACCATCAGGAACAGGAAGTGACTCGAACCGGACTGGACCGGATCAGAACCAAAGAGGAACATTAAAAGTTAAAATGAGGAAGAATCTAACAGGTTCTGAGCTGAGCGGAACACCTGCAGGTTCTGGTCCAGGTGAGAGCCGACAGAACTGAACAGGGTCTGTCTCCCTCTGCTGGTCGGAACCGGTCCCTGCAGGTCCAACTTTAAAGACTAAAGTCTGATCGGATCCTCTTTAAGCTGCAGCTGGAGCCTGTCTGCTCGGTTTCTGGTGGGTCCGGGTCCGGTCGGGTCGGGTCCAGTCGGACTCCACGGACGGTCACTGACACGTGGGTGGGTGTTTATATGACGTGTTTCCATGACGACAGAACAAACAGAGCCCAGCAGTGGTTCTGGTCCAGGAGTTCGGGCGGGAGGACGGGTTGGGGGCGGGTCCAGAAAATATTTGTCAGAAAAAGAAAAACTTTTTGTTGTTTTTAGTCAGAAAGTCGCGAAAAAAGTAAAACTTTGACCAAACTTTAATTAAAGCTTTAAATAAAAT